ACACCGACTTTTCTGTGAGGCAGGGAGAAGGGGAAAGGGAAATGATTTAAATGTGATGTGTTTAAATATAAGATTTATTTCTCTTCATGTTTTGGATTTGGAGGTTAAACGTTGATGATTAGGGAAAGGATCTTTCAGTTTCTTTGTAGCTTATATTTGTGAGCCTTTTCACAGGGCAGGGCATGTACCCAGTGTGGGAGCAAATGGTTTTGTAAAGACAAGGATGTGTATGAGACATTTGGGGGCAGAAGAGATGGAGCAAGAATAAGAGCGTTAGCATTGACTAGAATCCTTTCTTCATACTCTGGTCAGAAGTAAACAGTTGGTTTGTCTTTAACATATTTATGTGTTTGCTATAAGCACTCTGGATCGAAGGTTTTCTCCTATCAGAAAAGTTTTAAAACAGAAAAAAAAAAAGGATATTGGAAGATTGATGCAAGGAATTTTTGTTCTTCTTTTTTCCTTTCTGTGGAAGAGATTGCTATTTGTCCAAAAAAGTGTTCATTACACACATAATTCCCATGTATAGAAACATAATATAGTTGATAATTCCAGACTTTATTAGGCACATTTCGATGTTGTTCAAAAATGTCTTTTGTTGGTGGCTATATATATAAAAATATATATTTCTATTTATATATGTAAATCCCACCAAGACAGGACATGTGTTTTATAAAAGACATGTGAACATGTCTTTCTCTCTCTCTCTCTATACACACACACACACACACACACACACACGAAATACATGTTATATGTATATATATACACACACACATACTTTTTTAAAAGAAAGTATCATTATCACATCCCGAATCAGTATAAAGTTAGAATTTGTAGGATTTATCTTTGTTTCAAAATTGTATAAAATAAACAACTAGCTGCTGCTGCTAATATCAACATTTTCTAAAAATATGTTGAGTATGTTGTGTCCTTCTAAATATTTATCTTTTTAAAATAATCTTAATAAGCTATATTTTGGGAATCTTTTTGGGTGGGCAAATAAATACTTCTAACTGAAACAAAATGAACAGTTCAACTCTTCTCTAGCATTTACAGAGATTTTCTTCTTATCTAGTAATCTAAACGTTGTTGCTCTCAAATAGATTTAGTCTATAATGATTTTCTCTCTAAAGTTGGAGGAAAAGAGATTCTATCCCAGCAGCCAGGCTTGTTTTTCAACTATTGGAGAAAGAGGTCCTTTCCAAACTCATCTTGAGGTTTCCCCTGGAAAATGTATATATTTCACATTTTTAGTCTTTCAAGTAAGTATTATTAATATAAATATTGTCCACAAAGTAATTACAGAGTTACTTGAAAGGGAATGTGGGTTACTTGTGTAAATTAGTTAGGATAACTTGTAATTTCTGGAGAAGAAAATTCAGAAAATGAAGGTTATTTTTGTTTGTATAGAATTTCAGTGTCCAAAGGATGAAATCTTTCACAAATTATTCCATTTAATGTGATTCAAAAAGATGTAATGGAAGCATGATATTGCACCTTATTTCCTCTCTGTAACTCCTGGAAAGATGCTATAGAACATGCAGTTTACATCGAGTCCTTGCTTGAGGTGAGTAAGCAATTAATGTGGATCAGCCTAGAATCCAAAAGAGGACCAAATTCATTATTCAGTTTTTTGGTCCTTTTCTTGCCAAGGATTCTGTCCACTTGCCTCCCACAGTATGTAAACTGAAATGCTGCTGATATCTGGGTCAGCTGGGGAATCAAAGGGAAAGAGATGGGGCCCTGCTGACTCTTAAGAAGGCAGGATGATGAAGCTCGTTGATTTTTAGCACCCTCCACTTCTTAGGGTGTCCTCTATTGTTCTATCAGATACTGTGGCTGGGATGCCTGATGACCCTGTTGAGGCATCCTGACAAACTCTGAACTCTATGAGGAGTAGAGTTTGAATGCCCATGTTGGTCCTGATAGAGTTCAAGTGCCCACCATTATGATCTGGACTAACAGAGTGGGGGCAAGTGCTCCCCTGGTTTGTCCATTCTAGGCTAGTTCTCTACTCTTATTTGGCCACTGCAGTGCTCCGCTTGCTCTCAGATAATGCCTCTGGTGGGTTGAGTCAGCCTCATATCAGCCAAGGTTTTGTTGGTTTTCAAGCACCAAACCAGGAAAAAGCATTGTACAGGCATTTGCTTCGGATTTCGTGAAGGCAGAAATAGAAAGTTTACTCCTATGGAGGTAAGGTATAAGTCTTAGTTGTAAGACAGATGAGATATAAATAAATTTAATTTTCCTTTCCTACCACTGCAATGTGTTCCTCTACCCTTTTAAATATTATCTTTTAACATACATGGTTGATGTGAAAAAAGTAGATAATCAATGTGAAGATAATTTGTAAATATAAAGCACACAGTTTCTCTAGACAGCATAGTACAATAGTAATGATAGCATTATTATTGTCACTATTGTTGTTATTGGTGGTACTGATAGTAGTAGCATTGGGAAGGATAAAGTGTAGTAGATAATTTCCCGTTCAAATGATAGAAGACTTAAGAATGGGAAATACATTAATGATTTAGTCACTAATCACTTGCTGATAATTTATCTTAGCTCTGTAGAAATATATAAATTCATTATTTTCTTAGAGAGGCTAAGGAAATAGTATAATAGTATACTATCATATAATAGTAGAAATAGTATAATATCATATAATATGCATATATATCATATAAACAAATACTAATGTGAACACATATTCATTAATTCTGTGCATATATTTTATAAGTATTACCCATAGTGTAATGTGTAATGTGTTAATAATATTAAACTACAATGTAGACTCCACACATATTATAATATACTACATATAAAGTTAAAGAAGAGCTAAACCTCATATCAAAGACAGATCAATTATCATATATATTAATTAGAGACCCATCTTTAGTCCGTTTGCTAAGTATAAATTATTTATTATAATATTATGTAAAAATGTTAGATTGACCTTGGAGAGGCAAGCATTCACACATACTTGTGCACTTCAAGCACATTATGATTTACTAGCAAGTAAACAATAAGTCTAAGGAAGGAAACTCAGGGTGGTTCAAACAAATGATTAATACAGACAATATGAGCATATATTTTTCCTGTTCTTAATATGTCTGCAGATATAGGAACGTATTTTACAGCAAAATGCATGTGCTAAAATTATAATCTTAATGTGCATATTTAATTGGTTTTATATTTTCACAATCCTTTGATTTGAAGCATTTTTTATGTGCATTATCTAGAGAGTGAAGCCTATTCTTTTGTCTTTGTTTCGGTGGAATGTAAAACTGACACTATTGTGTCTCTGTATATAAGATTTTATGGCATTTCCAACAGCAGCGATGTGTATTGAGTTACCCATAGTCCTCTGTTGCTTTTTGTGCTATTCATCCAGGAATAAGGTGGGAAGAGGGAATAGAGTTAAGAGTTGAGGATAGAAGCTATAGCAAAATGGCAACCTAAAGCAATTTTAATCATGTGCAAAATCTCAAGCCCACGTGGTGGGGAACTTTGGCTGTATTTCCCAGAATCTTTCATCACATGCCTGTAGAACATAAATTAATCCATAGAGTTTGATATTTGGGAGATGGAGAGAGAATTTTCATGATTTGTACAAAATACAGTAATTTAAACAATTTGAAAGGATTGGTGGAGAGTTTTAAGAATTATGGTATATTATTACTTTACCTAATTTATCTAATTCAATGAAGTATGATTGTTTGTCATTTAAATATGTAACAGAAGAAATTTCCTTCTATTGGCAACTCTGACCCAGTTCTTACTTGGGCATAATTAAGTCAGTCTATCTATATACACAAGTCAAAAGTGTCAGATGTAAAGTAACAGTCACTTTGGATATTTATTTTTATATTATAGCAAGTCTTCAGAAGATTGACTAAATATTTTGATTAATCCAGATAATTGGCATTGCACTGATACAGTTTCTAAAAGCACCCATAGTAATAGCTTTGATAGACTATAAACAAAATAAATGTTTTTCTAATGGGCATATACATTTTAAAAATTAAATTCTGTTTACCATTCATTTATTCTTGAAACCATCTGTTATATTTGATTGGGCTTCATATTGTAGAGAATTATATAACTTTATGAAAAGTGTCTCTGTTCTTCTTTTTGCTTTTGTTAATTAGTTTTTAAAGTGCCTAAAACAGTCTTTGTTTGCTCTTTGAAGGTATTTTTTTAACATTTTTAATAAATGCTATTTTTTTATGTAAATATGAACAACTATCATAAATGCTTTTTCAAAAAAATGGGAAGGATTCAGTTTTTCGGAAGTAGGGACACCTACCTATGTTATAACTCAGTTTGAAAGGTGAAGAAATTAAAATTTGAGTTACTGATGGATCATTGTGCTGTCAATCTTTCTTATGTTTGGTATTGCTTTGGAGCCCCTCAAGGAAATTGTAAGACTCAACCAATTGAGTCTTCAATGAATACTTGTGAAAAAGATATTCTATGTTGAATCAGTGTACTAGCAACCAACAGATGGCACACTCAGGGTTCAAGTGGAGGATTGTTAATGAAGGGACCATTTACAGAAATGTGGGCAGGGTTAAGGGAACTGACAGGAGTAGTGCAGCACCTGAGACTGGGCACAGTCCTGGGCTTGGGATTCTGGCAGCTATGGAAGAGAGGATGCTGTTATGAGTGGTGGCTGTAGGGAAACAAGATCACTGCCCAAACTGTAGTGATTTGAAGCCAGTTTTATGATTTTCAAATGTGAACATAGCATAGCATGTGTTGTGTATGACAGGTATATCATTTAATAAATCTATCTGTAAATATAAGACCAGTTGTCTTTGTTATTATTCTTTAATCAGTGAACATTGTTTATAGAATCTTATCTGTTATGCTCTGATTTGATGCTTGGCAATGAGTTTGGGTTTGATTCATTAACATTGGAATCTCATCAAGTTGCCCCTCAGAGAAGGGAACTCTTACCCACCAATATACAATATACTTTTGTTCTTTTACAGGTTTCTTTTCTCCACTTTCTAAGTGGTGCTGATGTCTGTTTCCTTGACAACAAGGTAGGGTGAATGCTGAAATGATACAGAGTGCATGTCAGGTGTATTTATAAAGTGAGTTGTAGTTGTTCAGTGGAAATATATAAGAGCAACCTTGTCTTTTTTTGTGAGCAAAGATGCTAATGAAGGAGCTTCACAGTGAAGGCAGTTTCCATGGAGCCAAGGGGGTAGATACACATAACACTAGACACTGGCCTATTATATTTTTGCATTTGTTTACTACTACTGTTCACTTCTTTTTCCTCAGTTATTTCTTGTCACACATGCTGATCAACTAGTTTATAACTTGAAAGCTAGGCAAATACTTGATCTATTCATTTTCAATTGTGGGACACAATTAAGGCATAGCATGATGATTGCTAGTTGTTTTTGATTGTACCTAAAACAGGTAGTTCAAAAATGCATTATAACTGTATAATAATTATTCTAGGATCCAACAGCAGATCAGTCAGAAGTCTCCTTTAGCTGTTTCTGCAAGTCTAGATTACAATGTCTTTATTGATAAACCTGTGATGTAACAAGATGCTGAAATGACTTATGAATAAAAAGCTATTAGATTATTTTTGTAGTCACTTGGATATTAAATATATATTGATGTGTTCTAAGTATTTGAAAATTGGTAATTCAAATATAGTGCATATGGAATCTTTATTAAGGAGGTTATGATTAACTAACGTACTCTTTTTCCTGATCATAATAGATAACAGAGACCTTACTATATTTGAGTAATGATCCTCCTGAAACTGAAACCTCTGAAATGCTTTGGCTAAAAATTAAATTATATAAATGATGTAAACTTTGGCTATGACTAATATGTATGGATATTAGGACTTTATAACTTTAATTCTCTTCAATATTAAGATATTAATGTAAATCAGTATAGCCACTATGGAGAACAGTATGGAGGAGGTTCCTCAAAAAACTAAAATAGAACTACCATATGATTCAGCAGTTCCATTCCTGGGTATATATCCAAAAGAAAAGAAATCAATATATCAAAGAGACATCTTGGCCGGGCGCTGTGGCTCACGCCTGTAATCCTAGCTCTTGGGAGGCCGAGGCGGGCGGATTGCTCAAGGTCAGGAGTTCAAAACCAGCCTGAGCGAGACCCCGTCTCTACTATAAATAGAAAGAAATTAATTGGCCAACTGATATATATATAAAAAATTAGCCGGGCATGGTGGCGCATGTCCCAGCTACCCGAGGCTGAGGCAGAAGGATCACTCGAGCCCAGGAGTTTGAGGTTGCTGTGAGCTAGGCTGACGCCACGGCACTCACTCTAGCCCGGGCAACAAAGTGAGACTCTGTCTCAAAAAAAAAAAAAAAAAAAAAAAAAAAAAGAGACATCTTCACTTCCACATTTATTGCAGCACTATTCACAATGGCCAATATATGGATTCAACTTGAGTGTGCATCAACAGATGAATGAATAAAGAAAATGTGGCATATATACACAATGGAATATTATTCAGCCATAAAAAGAATGAAATCCTGTCACTTGTAGCAACATGGTTGGAACTAGAGGCCATTATGTTAAGTGAAATAAGCCAAGCACAGAAAAACAAATACTGCATATTCTCACTTGTATGTGGAAGCTATAAAAGTGGATCTCACAGAGGTAGAGAGTAGATTTGTGGTTATCAGAGGCTAGAAGAGGGAGAGGGGATGGAAGGAAGAAGAGTAAAAAAAAAAGAATATAAATATATTTATTACCATTGAACTATGCAATTAAAATGGTAAAGATGGTGAATTATATATGTATGTTTTACTTCAATAAAAACACAAATAATCATTAAGATATTTTCCCATCATTTAAGGATGTTTTCAAAAGCATATACCTACATCTCTATTGTAAAAAATGAGAATTAATCCAAAAAACTCAATTGAACACATTAAGTATACATAATATAATGGGAATTCCTTTCACAGACCATGAAGATTATGTCCGTTTTAGGCATTAACAAAACTTACATCACCCACAAAGATATTTAATTCACTCACTGTTAGTAGATGTTACAGATTGAATCCCCTGTGAAGCAGACGCTGAAATGGAAGATTTGTATGCTGAAGTTTCATTAGGGTAACCTTTGGAAAGAGAAGGAAGCAGGATTGGGTAGAAGGATAATTTGGCCAAATTTTACAAATTCAGCAAAGACCTCAGCCAACCGCATGGGTAGCTCTGAGCTGGGAGGCCCTACAAAGTTGTCCTAAGTTAAGATGAGGGGACCTAGCCTTATAGCCTTGTGTTTTCTAGTCACTTAGATAACGGGCTGCTCTGAGAGGTAAGGCAGCTCTCTTCAGCTAGAGGTAATTCTAAATAGGGCTCAGAACATATCTGAGAGCCTTCAATAAACTTCTCAGAAACTGAAAAATTATTTTCTCAATCCTGGAGGGAGGATTTGGGCATAGCATCCCTAACAGTCCAACCTTTGAGTTACTTGGTTTCACTTGCTTTATATTTGTGGCTAATTAATTGGTTTCCTCATCATGGACTCTAATGGACTTCTTTTCCTTAGTAAAACAGATAAGAGAAAGTTTAGTGGAGGATCTACAGCCTCTGCTGCTGTAGCTGGTCTCAAGGCTGCAACTGATACTCAGCATCTCCCTCCTCTACTATTTATGTAGTGTTGCCTCACCTTCAGCTAGCAACCCTGCTGGTCTAGATGGCTTATCTAGTGGGGTGAGCAAGACCCTCATCCCTGAAGGGTCCAAGCTCCTCCTGGTTACCATGTTATTTTTGAGGATTTTGCACTTGTCCATTTGCCATTAATATTGAGTAAGGGAGTACCTGGAAACACCCCAGTTGACCACTTGGGTGTCAAACATATTCCTTCTTGTCCTGGTTGTATAACAACAGCCCTACCTCCTCTTGATGATCTGGGCTAATTACTCCTGCCAGGATGGCAATTTCTCTTTTTGCCTGTTGGTACCTCAACACAAGAAGTACAGAGTGCTCAAAGAAGAGCTGTAGCTTGAATTAAATGAAACTCTTACTGTATCCTGTGGTGATAGAGTTGCAGACCTGGGAAACATGAATTGCTCAAGTGTGTCACTGAGAATGAGTAATAGTAAGCAGGGACACTTCTGCTTCTAACGTTTGGTTTCCAAACCCATGTGTTCTATCTAATGGGATGTTTTCACTATATGGTAGTCATTGATCTAGTGTGTATATGGCGTCCTGAAGGATAACACCTATCCTTTCAGGGTGACATCTCCAAGTTGACACCTCAGCCATACCTTTAATAGGCTGTTACATGCTCTATGGGGCTAACAGCTACTGTGTCTGTGGTATGTGTTGGGACCAGTATATTTCAGGGTCATATTTCAACTATCACACTGTAAAGTGGGCCCCTATATCTGATGCAAAGTTATAGGAGATGAGATGATGTGCCCATGTAACAAACAGTTTGTAAGCACTTGGATAGTGGTGCTGGTTGAGGCTCTGTGGATAAGAAAGTCACACTCACAATTAGAATATGTGTCAGTTACCAAGAAAATATATCACTACTCCTTTCCAGGATAAAAAGATTAAATGTAATAGACTTGCAATCAAGTGGTCAATTGGTTAATCTAAAGGACAGTGACATATTAGATGCTTAGCATTGGTCTCTGTTGCTGGCAGGCTGTAATTCTGTGGCAGCAGTAGTTCCATCAGCCTTGGTGAGTAAGAATCTACCTCATATATGCTATACTTAGCAACCACCCCTCCCTCTCTGGCTACTACATTCATCCAGCCATTATGCCAGCACTGTAGTGGTTGATGATGGAGGTTGACTCATGTCAACTTGCTGAATTATTCTATCCATCTGGTTGTTTAGAGTCTCTTCAATGGTGGATATTCTCAGGATCAACACTTGTGGGAGAAGGGAATGAAGCAGGAATGAGCTAAATGAGAAGCTAGATTATGATACAGTCACAACAAGGCCTCAGAATTGATCCCATGATGGGCTCTAAGCTTTAATGGCCCTTCACAGTTTCCCAGGGTTGGAAAAGAGAGTTTGGTCTTTATAATACTGAATCAACCAGTCATTAGATTTGGGCTGCTCTGGGAAGAGGAAAATAACCTTAGATGATTCCATTTAGTCCACTCTTCCAGAGGGGTTGTATCATGGAGAAGGAAAACTCCAGTCAGGAAGAACTGGAGACTTTTGGGGAATCTAATTCCACCAAATTACCCTTCTACATGGAGCTTCCAATCAACCTGGATTATATATCCCAATATTTTTTAGATAGATGAAAATGAAGCCTCTTCCCCTGAGGATTGGGATCTGACTAAATAGACCTGAGACCTATGCTGTCAAATAGATCACTTTTGGGAATCGGGTTCATTTCAAAACTTCCTAGCTGCCAGCAGTAAAAGAACTGGCCATCAGTTTCCCCTAATGTGGAGACTAATACACATAGGGAGCTCTCCCTGGTGCTGCTTAAAAACTTGACCAAAGATTCTCTCCACCGTTATATCTTCTTTTGAATTCTGCTCATCTGATCTGTCCCTAGTATATCTTGCTTTAAAGGTAATCAGCTTTGCTTTCTCCCAATCCCACAAAATCTCTTGAAAAATCCCTGTTGAAACTGTGACCCAATCTGATTCTAAACATATGTGCAGTTCCAGTCATCACCCGCAACTACAACCCTATGGCCAGCTCATCCTATGTATGCTTCCTTGCCCAGTACAAAGAAATCATCTATTGAAAACTAAAGTTATATGCATTATTCTTTTGAAAAATGTTAACATTCATTTAATTAAAATGGAAGTTTATTCAATAAAGAGATTTGGGCTATCAAATAAAATTAGAAGATCAAAAAGCCTGCTAAACTCTAAGTAAAATAATTGTTCAGGATTTACACAGAAGGAGCAAAAGTATATAGCAAAGTAAGTGAATCAGAATTAAGATATGTTATGTTTCCTACTCTGGGTTTTGTTAAGAGTTGAACTAAGTGTGGATATAGAATTATGTTTTGTTAGTATCAGTGAGGAGAAAATTCCTAGCTTATGTATCACA